GCGAAACATTAATTCCCCAATTCGCAGCGATTCGAGATAAATCTAATTTATAGCGTGTGCTATACTTGCGAATGACAAAATAGATTCTCGGGTCTCCGTCGTTTCTCAGTTGTGCGAATATCATGGCCGATGCGGACGGAGAGGGAAAGGGGTAAGCGAAAATTTATCAACGGGCAATTCCCGAGGAACCGGGAGTAACTTGCGCAAGAGCTAAACATAGAATCAGCACATGTATAAAGATACACTCGTGCGTTTCAGCGCGCAGCGCGGGAGGCCATTAAAATCATATCTGCTAAGGTCGCTGCGTTATCGGCGAGTTATCAATTATAATAAGCGTCCGAGGCTCACTTTCAGCGAGGCTCACGATAGCTCGCAATAAAAACATTCCGACGGGTAGGGGGCAGGAGATTTCGCGAAATCCGTATAATAAAAGTACAAGAGCTGATCTATTGTCCCACTTGGAAAGTCACTCTGCTAAAAGTAAAGAACCGAGTTGTTTATCATCGATACGTCGTTTCAGGTCGCCGTTGTCGGGCACGGAGAACCAAAGCAAGATCAAGGAGACGAGCTCGTATTATCCGCAAGAGCCCAACAAGAGGCCAAAGACAGCGGGGCAGAAGGTGCGATCATGCCTGAGCCATAACGCACTGACGTTACTCACGGTCGCCGGCGTGATCGGTGGTGTGGTCCTCGGCATCATCCTGCGAAATTCGCGGACCGGGAAATGGACACCGCGGGAGATCATGTACATCAATTACCTCGGCGACCTGTTTCTGAGAATGCTCAAGAGCTTGATCCTACCGTTGATCATTTCGAGCTTGGTGTCGGCGATCGGCTCGCTCGACTTGTCGCTCAGCGGCAAGATCGGTGCACGCGCGATCGGCTATTATATGGTTACAACTATCTGTGCTGTCGTGCTAGGTTAGTGAAATCTATACACATTTGTACATCGACACTCTCTCTCCTCCCTCTCCTTGTCTTTCTTTCTCTCTTCCCCCCTGCCTCCCTTCAACCTCTCTCTCTAAGGTAGTAATATGATTACTTCATGGCTGGCACGAGTATGTAGACACATGTAGACGAATCTCGGCGTCTGCTCTCAGATGTAATTAGCACAGAGGGAAACGTCTCCAATCGATGTTCGCGTGTCTTCTCGCGCGCATTCGAATACGCTGGAGTACTGCAAGTGGCGTACTGAGCATGTTCCTAGGTTAAACGATTGGCCCGCATCATCAACAATGCGACGTCTCGTTGCGATCAAAGGGTCCCCCGGCGTTTTGCCTCTCGACATCGCTCTGTCGCAACGCTCCACAATAATGCCGGTTCTTAGAAACGAGCGACGCGGCGAACAGCAGATGGATGGCACTGTCCCTCGCATTTACATATCTGGTCGCAGGAACGCGCACGATAGCCCTGAATTCGTGACTCATCTCGGTTAATTAACAACAAGCTCGGATGCCCGACCGAGAAGAGAAAATCGAGCGCGCAAATACGTCAGGCCGGCACAATAACCGACAGATTACGGCATTATCTTCAAGTCCGCGCGATTTTTGTTCTCTTCTTTTCCTCTTTCTTTTTCCTCTTCTGCAATGTCGCGAGCAGGCGGACAGATACGACGTTTTATTATGTTAGACCGGTGTTATCGATTAGACCGGTTATAACCGAAACCGTTGCGCGTAATGTTGCTTACGTTCGATTTTTCTTTTGGCGTTGATTATTCTCGCGACATCATGCCAGCTGTATATTTCACTACTTGTCATACTTGTCATTCTGTCGTTTATCTCGTCGATGTTTCATCGTAACTCCGTTAATACTCCTCGCCGCACGTTCTCGCGAGCAACTGATAAAGCAAATGTAAAAATGGCGTAAAACATTAGACATAACATCGTGTAACGTCACGCGCTATTCGATGATGATTTATTGAAGACTGATTTCAGGTATAATTCTCGTCGTTTCGATCCAACCCGGAGTCGGCAGCTCCGTAGCGGAGACCACGAAACCGACACAAAATATTTCCACCATCGACACGTTGATGGACTTAGTGAGAAACATGTTTCCGCCGAATATCGTTCAAGCCTGCGTCGCCCAGCATCGCACTGAGCCCAAGCCACCGGAGAATGAATCGAGTAAGTGACTCTGATACCGTTTAATTCGAGATAATCCTTAAAATGGATAACGCCTGAGTTTAGATTCGGATAGAATGTAATTTATTTGTAATATGTAAATCCGTGCTTTTTTTCCATTAAGTTATGCAATAAGCAATTTCAGATTTTCTCCAAGTGAAATGAAGCAATTATATTTTTATATCGTTATATAATTCTGCGAAACAATTTCCGCAGAAGATGACAGGAAATCGTAGATAAAAATAGCGTGCACAATGTTTCATGAATTGTAGCGACTCAAAAGTACAATTCTGTTCCATTGCACCTGAGAAATGACTCTTATCACGCTACTGAATAATATGTAAACTCGTTTTTAAAAGTGAAACAATTTTATCTTGCAGTTCCTCTGGATGAATGGGAGCTGGTGGAGAAAGAGGTGTCCGGTACCAACATTCTCGGACTCGTCGTATTCGCGACGGTATTGGGCATCACACTCGGTAAAATGGGACCGCAGGCCAAGCCGCTGTTGAGTTTCTTCGAGTCGCTATCCGGCGCTATGATGTTGATTACCAACTGGGTCATATGGTGAGACTCGAGAAGAAGTATGTGCTGTTCAAGACGCGTCGGGTTCATCGAGAAACTTATGTATTATTTGCACAATGTCGACGTTGTTGCGTAAGACATTGTCTTGCACAGCTGTCACGATGATACGATAGGCATCTCTAGTCGTCACGCGTCAGCCGTTATTTTTTTTAACGATTTAAGGTGTTTAATTTATGAATGCGTTATGTGCTTGCAGGTTGTCGCCGATTGGTGTTCTCTTCCTGGTCGCCTCCAAGATCACGGAGATGAAGTCGCTGGAAGAGGTGGTCGCCCAGCTCGGTATGTACTTCATGACCGTGTTGCTCGCCCTCATCATACACGGCTTTCTGGTGCTGCCGGGGATGTACTTCCTTCTCACGAAAAAAAACCCCTATCGCTACATATCCAATATGGCGCAAGCACTCGTCACTGCTTTCGGCACGTCCTCCAGCTCGGCGACCTTGCCGATCGCCATCAGCTGTCTCGAGGAGCGCAACGGCATCGATTCGCGAATCACCAGATTCGTCATGCCGATAGGCGCTACCGTGAACATGGACGGAACAGCGTTATATGAGGCTGTAGCTGCCATTTTCATATCACAAGTTCGCAAGGTTGGTCTTTCCTTCGGTCAGCTGGTAGCTGTTAGGTGAGTGTTCGCTGCTCATTAAAGTCCTTCCTGCATTACAAGTCTTGGCTGTAAATGTAGGATAATTGCAAGCTCTTTTCTATTGTATTTGTCAAACTTGTTCCAGTATCACGGCAACCGCCGCCAGTATCGGCGCGGCTGGAATTCCGCAGGCCGGATTGGTGACGATGGTGATGGTATTGGACACAGTTCACCTGCCGGCCAACGATGTCTTCCTAATTATCGCGGTCGACTGGTTATTGTGAGTACTACACCCTCGTGTTTACCCTGGAATCGCAGTCTTATAATTGTGATTTTATTCTCCGTGTGGAAGCATACGCTCATGTTCCTTCGTCTTTCAGAGATCGCTTTAGAACAACGGTGAACGTCATCGGCGATTCGCTCGGCGCGGGAATCGTCCATCACCTCAGCAGGAACGAGCTCACGTCTATGCCGCACCATCCGCAGCAGTCGCAGAATGGAGCCGAGCGTCACGCGACCACGTCGATATGAATGTGCCGCCAGTGATCGCAGCGTCTCGACTGACGATTACGAAGCTGCTTCGCGATCGGAAAATCGATCGACTGCATAAACTGCATCGACACCTCGCGCGGCTAATCACCTACCGAAATTTTGACTCAGCTCGCTGTGAACTCACGAGAGTTCAATTTCAAGAATATACGACGCGAATAAGTTAAAATTAGGGAGATAAAATTAATATTAGAATTAAGAGCACGGTAAATCAAACGATAATATTACTACTTTGCTGCATCACATCTGATTTGTAATTTCCAATTGTATCAATTATTTGAAGAAATTTCGGAAGGCATGCGTTGTTGCCTCGCGAGCAACCAACAGATTGCTTGAGCATCGAGCAACTCGAACCTCTCGAAAATCGACCGAAAAACGTATCGCTTGTCGAGCTCTGATACAAAGCATCGCGATGTGCGTGCATACTTTCGTTCGTGTGATACAATAATGATCGATGATCGCGAAGTACGATCCTGACGAAGTGTTCTTGCGTATTCAGTAAGTGTTCCGTTTTTAATTTAGTCAGTTAAATCGGCTTAGTATTAATTATCCCGTAAAAAGCAGACTATAGACGAAGGGAACAATAAAACTGTACCACCGTACCGCCGTCTCTTAACGCTATACTATGCGACAAACACGGAATGCGAGGGACGCGTAATCTTCTTCAATTATCTCTATACAAGTACTGTAAGAAGAATTAATTTGGTAGTAACTTAATTGACATCCATTCCGCGATATACGTAATAATAGGGCAATCAAATATTAACTATCAACACGCAGCGCTTGCAGTGCGAGCGACTGTAGCGTCCTTCAGATGACTCCGAAATGTCAGGTGTGTGTTACTTCGTAGCTTTAGTACTCGTAGATCCCATTAAACAATCTTGCTTGTGAAATGTATAAGTATATAGCGTATACATATCTGTCTTCCATTCTTGCGTTTGATTAACGAGAATTGCGTTTGATATTTAACATGTGTTGCGCCTCGCGTTTTATTTGAGTCGCGAAATTTGTAGTCTGCTATTGCCGCGTGATTTATCCGCGTCTTTTCTCCGAGTGCATTTAAAATTGCGAGGCTCATCAGAATTTCGGAAAAAGCGTAACGTCTTCGAGACAAAATGCTAGCGATGATTTTTAGAAATCGATTTTATTGCTATTCAATGAGAAGTCAAGAAGCCCGAGATTCTTGTTATTACTTTTTTATATGACGAAAGTAGAAACAAGAATGTATATTCCCGCGCTGTTCTGCAGCGGTCAAAAGATGTCACAGTTTGTGCCATAGAACGTTACTATTGTAGCGTCACATCGACAGATATTTCTTTAATATCAAGACAAAAAATCGCATTATCAACACAAAATGTTACATTAAGAACATTTAACCCGTCTTTTACTTGTAAAAATTGTCGCGTACTCTATACGACTTGAGATGCCATACAGTAGAAATGTTTAAAAGCCATTTTAGGAACCCAATGAAAAACTTTTCATACATAATTATGTACAATTATATAAAATTATATATAGTTATACATAATTATATATTATTATATATCAAATTTGTCCATTCATATTCATACTTCTACTTATATATATAATCATGTATAATTATATATATATATATAACTTTATATATATAATTTCACATAATTACGCATATTTATATGTAATTATACATAGTGTTATACATAATTGTGTGTAATGATATATAATGTTATATGATTATATATAATTATGTATGGACAAATTTCATATATAATTATGCATGAAAAATTTTTCATCGAGAACGTCTGAAAGATATCTGTTTTAGATGCCTTTGACATGTCTCTGAGACGTATATTAGACGTTTGTACTGTTTGGATAACAACAACTAGCTACGGTGTCTAACCCTTAAGTATGAAGCAACGTTGATCATTTTTGGTCCCTTCATAAATGTTCAAATAACAAAACTGTGCAATTTTCTCCACTTTGTACGTTTTAGCGTGCAAAAGAAAGGTTCAAGAAATCACAACGTATAACACGAGAACGGCAAACTTTTAGAAAGTGTACATTTAAAGGCTAAACATTAGAAAAGCTAACGATGAAAACTAAAATCCGTACTTAAGGGTTGAAATGCCTTTTCTTTTTACTGACGCAGCAAAAGGGAAGAAACAACGTAATTGTGAAATTACTATACGCGTGACATGTAAAAGAATTATGTGGAGAAAATAACAAAAAGATTAATAAACGAATTGCCTGATTTCTATCATAAATTTAGCCTGTTGTAAGATTCTTTTGTTATGTTTCATGCAGAATTTTTTTTAGATTTATATCAAAGTGTTCTGATGAATGCGTATCACTACTATATTTCATGGTGTCGCGACTATCGAGTGTGATTAACATATCTATCTGAATGCATCTCAGCGATGCGTAGACGAAATAAAATCAACGTATGCAGATGAAACATGAAATTGAAAAGAAATTACGTTTATACACGTCGAGATAAGTACAATATTCAGCAACTGTTTCACTACTGTTTAATGGAATTTATTGATTGGCATAATTCGGATTTGCATATATTTGCATAATAAATATAATGAGTATATAAATTAATATATATACACAAGATGTATAAATATATATTATGGAAGTATATGTGAACGGAAATTGATTGTGTGCGCGTAATTAATTGTGTAGCAACGCGATGTTCATTCTCAAAGAGAGTCCTCGTTCTGCGATCAACCCAGGTAGCAGAGTGACGTCAGAAGACATCTTATTGACGTCATTCTGCTACTTGGGCAAATATCTGTGAGTGGAAAATAAATTCACTTCCCAGACAGCACACAATATATTTACAAAATATTTTAAAAATATAGATATTAAATATTTTATAAATATTCACATGTTCCAGATTTTCAGGTATAAAAAAGATTATAATAAATATTTTAAAATATTTATGAAAAACATTTTCCATAGTCTTTTTCACACCTAAAAATCTCGGACATTAGAATATTTATAAAATATTTAATATCTATATTTCTAAAATATTTTGTAAATATTGTGTGCTGTCTGGGTTACCGCAACTCTTCCGCAATCAGCTCTTTCCACCGCAACGTCAGCTTATCCCAGGATATCGCGTCGTTCTGGACGATCTTGAAGCGTGCAGCTTGTCCGCGGGACAGCGGGAGAAGACGCGCTACTTATTCGAATAAGTGAAAATTGCATTTCTGCGCCGTTTGATTCGCTATCGGACAGAGTGTAGTTCCCCCGCACTTTTCGCGTCTTTTATCGTCGAAGGTAGATATGACACGCGAATGAATGTGAAAAATCGTCCAAAGAACAACATACGAACATTATAGTGTCTTAATATAGCCACGTAATTGTGCTTTTTCATCTTTTAGAAATATTTTTTATAATCGCTGTCCGTGGGTGCAGGTGTAAATGTTTGAACGTTGATAAGTGCTGCCGTCACATTACGCCCGCCATCACATTGGCTGCGTTCGCTTTGGGCGCTTATACGCTGTAAGCATCATTCTATCTTTTTCCCGCATGTAAAGATAACATGGAACGATAAAGATAGAATGAGGGTGCCATTACATGAAGCATGAAACGCGGAAACGCGGAAGGCAAAATCTTACTAAATTTCCGCGTTTCGCGAATTGAATCATTTCTTCCCGTACGTTTAAAAAGCGGAAAATCGGAAGGCCCAAAACTTTTCCCTACTGTCTTTTCATCCAAGGTACCAAGATATGAATTCCAAAAAAATATCAGGTCCGAACGTGTTTGAACATGTCTTAATGTAACGGCGGTTAGGTCGAACAACTTGTGATAACTTGTGACCACTTGTGACAATAGATTTTGATGCGCTTGTTCCGCGATTATATTTCTCCTTATATTACATGGAGCACAATTTACGCGGAAAAGCGGAACAGTTTGGTAACAAATAAACATCTGTATTCATTTTTTAAAATTGTATTCACTTAATTTATTGCAATTTTTACTAATATGTTTATCTTTTCAGCTTATCTGTTGAATACAAACATTTTAATTAATAAATACCGTTAAAATTAATGTTTTATGATTCCCCATACCGCTTTTCCGCTCAAAATATGCTCCATGTAATATTAGGCAATCAAAACAGACGCGGAACGCATAGCGGATCTAATAAGATTTTGTCTTCCGCATTTCCGTGTTTCCGCATTCCCGCGCTTCATGTAATGGCACCTTTACAGCGCGTAAACGCCCAAAGCAAACGCAGCCATTAACGATTGGCGACTGCATCTGCGTTTACAGTTTTGACCAATCAGAAAGAAGCTACTGACGATTGTGATTCACGATTCCCATTTAACCATTTAATTTTTACAATCGTAGACCGATATTTATAGCCAGGTCTTATATTTAAGACTGTCTTAAGTTTATCTTCAGATACTCCGTAACCAATGAAATGATCCGTACATCATCTGATATTAGGCCAGAGCCTTTATTCTTGAAATAGTTGCGTATATATAAGTTTTACTGCGCAGGTTTAATCATATAAAATAGCTGCAAAATTACGTATACGCAAAAATTTCAAGAATAAGGGCCCTGCTGTTCTCTCTTTGTAGCTGCACTGCTCAACTAATGCAAAAAGTTAAAGTGAGAAAACTTATACTTGTCTCACTTCAATTTATTGCAGTTCAGTAGTACGGCTACAAAGAACAGGCCTGAGGGTGAAATCCCATGGCATGTATTTTCGCGTAACGCGTAAGCGCGTAATCAATAAATTGCGACGTTTAGTATTTCTGTTGGAACTTCTAAAAGAATAGAAAGATGTGATTGGTTACGCGGTTACGCGTTACCCGAAAATATGGGACTATGGGAAAATATGGGTGCCATGGGACTCCACCTTTATGAATACCGTAGCGCAAGCGCAACCAATCACAAAACTACTTATAGTCATGTGACCAGCAGGTTAATTGTATATTAACAAAATTCATTTCGCGCGGGCGTCGTTTGGTGTCAAGAAGCAAAATTCCGTAAGACTCATACTTTGGCCGCCAAAATCACGTAGGTCCGAATGCCAAGAGCACAAATTGCTGCTTTACACGCGTACGAATGAATATGAAGAATGTCGGATGTGAGACAACGTCGTGTCGTAATGTGTTGTATCGCGCGCGAGTGAGTGTCGAGCAAAAGATTCGTATCCCGTGCGAACGTATACATTGGGCTCGCCGAGAAGAGACGTAACATGCTCGAATAAACATCGGGAGTGTCTAATGTAGTTCTACGTCGACGTCTGTAACACGAAGGAAGCCGAGTAAAAACCGTTACGTTGCTTGAACGCAGCTATTGTCGTGCCGCGCGCAAAACATGCCGGGAGTGTCGAGCGAGGTGTTACATCGCGTGAATTTCGAGAGTGTCGGGAATGAAATATTGCGTATATGCACGATGACTCGAGCGAATTAGTGCGTGAAATAACATAAATAGTGCGTATTTTCTCGATACGGAGGCATGCTTCGTCGGGATTACCAAGGTCGACGCGATCCCGGGATAAGCTGAAGTCGCGATCGAAGAAATCGATTGCGGAGCGACAAAATATACGGTGAGCAGTAAGTGTAATATACTTACTTTATTAGCAGGCTTTTTATTTGCATGCAACGACTTGTCCAATTGTAATGGCACAATCGTCTTGCACAAGTTGACATCACGTCAACATTGAGATCATCGATCTAAACGATCGCATTGAAACATCTTCTAGCATCTGTTTCTTTCAAATCGCGTAAGGGTGCCTTTTCATGTAGCGAATTTTTCGCTGCGAATTATTTGTAGCGAGTAGCGAATAATTCGCCGCGAATAACTTATGAGCGTCATATGTTGCGTGTTAACAACATAGAGGAAAATTCAATTATTCATTTGATTACTTATAGAAATACTACTTATAGAAATATTACTCGTACGAGTAATAAAATTATTGAACGACAGTAATTATCACTGCCCAAATTATTACTTATCAGTATTACATTTCTATAAGGGTGGCATAACCAAACATTATTAAATTATATGCAAATAATGAATTATTATGAAAATATCCGAAAAAGGAAAGTAGCTGCAGTTATGGCTATACTTTTACATAAGAAAAGAAGATATTCGAGAAAGAAACATTGGATAACACTTATTTTTCAAGATAGAAAAGAACATGGATTTTTTCATGCTACCTAAACTTCTTCCAGAAGATTTAAAATTTTATAATTATATACGCATGTCTGCAAGTCAATTTAAAAATTTAATATTCATAGTTGGAGCAGACATATTTAGCATTATTATATTAGAGAACCTATAGATGTGTTGAGATGTCAATAGTGATTATCTTAGTGAAAATTCGCTAAAAGCTAAAAAATTTCAGCGAATAGCAATTACTCGCTAGCGAACAACAAATGACCTTCTATCGCAGCGATTTATTCGCTACATGAATTTGTACGTAGCATGCGTTTTTCCGGTACAATTGGCTTTTGAAAGCATACCAACTGTTCAATGACAGTTCCGAAGCTAACCTGAACTCTCTCTAGATGTCTCTAGAGTGATTGTAAACACAAACATACGCTGCCGGTTGCTACGAGTTCGTAAGCTTCCTCCGCGACGGGAGCTCTAGGTTAGGTTAATTTTAATTAATCGAAAATTACGTGGCTGTGACGATATGTTTAATTAGATATTAATTTCACATGTATACAAATGTTTACAATTGTTGAAATTTAGTTATTTACGATGTTTAGGGGCGTTTTTAAAACGATCACGAATTTTTCGTTCCGTTTTGGTCATCTGAGCTCAAATTACAAAATATTTATGCATTCCACATTAATTTTATTCGTTACAAGTACCACGATACTTTTTCTGTACTTGAATCGTATACAGCCACATTATTTCATCGATGAGGCTTTCCATATACCCCAAACACTGCGATACTGTGCATGGAATTTTACAGAGGTAACATATAATGGCTTCTAACTGTCTGAAATAGCCAGCTTCTAACTGTCATATGTCATTACTCTGCGACAGGAATAAGTGCTACATTATTTGCAGTGGGATCCTAAAATTACCACATTGCCAGGATTATACGTTATTACTGCTGCGATATTGTCACCTTTTAATCTTTGCAATATTACCTACATACGATGTGTCAATTTAATTGGAACGTGTGTAAATCTCTATCTTATTTATAATATTATGAAGGAGAATTGTAAATCTAACAGGGCTGATTCATGGAATGATTGGTTGATACTTGCTTCAGCGTACAATATCACACTTTTCCCAACATTGTATTTCTGGTGTTTCTTTTATTACACAGACGTTGTGTCTGTGAATACAGTGCTTCTAATGTTGCTTCTCCATCATCGCAGGCACACTAAGATGAGTGCATTTGCAGGCAAGTATACTCAAGTATAAGTTGATATGTCAAGAATTATTAATTATGATCTAACAGTAATATTGCACAGGTTTAATAGCTGTATTTGTTCGTCAAACAAACATCATTTGGCTTGGCTTCCTCACTGTAGAACACATATTGGATATATTTGATCGCAGGATGGAACAGCCAATATCTTCTCGATTACTCAACACTCCATTGCATTTTCGTGTAAGTAAAGAAGCTGCAAGATTACAATATACAAGCTTATCTCTAATGCTAGATTCTAAAATATCTCTGTTCTTTTTCTTTTTTTATTAGAAGAAAATGTGCAAGGTATGAATTGTGTGGTTGGAAAGGATGAATGTTGTGGTTAGACAATCTCCTCCACGATACAATTTATTGTACATTTTCTTTTGATGTAAAAAAATAAATACTTCAGAATGTAACGTTATATAGGATGTTTTTAAATTTTCAATTTATTTTGGCATAGAATTATGAAGTCTAATTTACGAAGGTTTTCCCTGATCTCCTTTACAAGGTCTGAAAAGAAAAAAGAAAAGAAAAATTAAATTAAAAAGTTATGAATTTTTTAAACCAGTTCGTTTCTTTTGTGCCACCCTATATAACTCACTCTATATACCACATATGTTGCATCAGAAGAATTCATTTGCAATACAATCAAATTATTTCCAGCTGATCTGGAAGCAAATAATATACGAGTTACGCAAAGGGCTGCTGTCCTTTGTCAAGTTCTTTCTACAAGTATGCAGCAGTACGCTTCCTCACATAACGGTATGTCTGATGTTCATCGCCTTCGTCGTATGGAACAGAGGCATAGTGGTCGGCGACCGTTCCGCTCACGTTGCCACCATTCACGTCTGCCAGATATTTTACTTCTCCGCTTTCGTCTCGCTCTTCTCGTGGCCGTACGTGGTGTCTCATTGGCGAACGGGCTTGCAATTCCTACGCCAGCACTGGATCCTCGCAAGCTGCGCGGTCGCATTAATGACCGTGGTAATCCACTTCAACACGCTCGTTCATCCGTATGTTTTGGCCGATAATCGGCATTACTGGTTCTACGTGTGGAACCGATTAATAGATCGTTACGTGGCGTGCCGGTACTTATTAGCGCCGGTTTACTGCGCAAGCCTGTTCGCCATATCGCGAAATATCGGTCATCTGAGATTTCTCACGCAGATCAACTACGCGATCTGCGTCTGTATGGTTCTGATACCTCAGTTACTGGTGGAACCGCGTTACTTCATCCTGCCTTACGTCTTCTATCGCTTGAATATCGAGAAACCGCGCGCATGGCAGATTTGTCTGGAATCGTTCACAACGTTGGCGATCAACCTCGCGCAATTTCTCCTCTTCGCCAACAAAGTGTTTTACTGGGAGGATCAGCCATATGCCCAACGCATTTCTTGGTGACCACAAAGAAACAAAAATGTCATAATAAAAGATTTATTATTTTAATTATTTTTGAGTTTACATGCATTCCCGAACTTGTATCTTTCTGTATCAATATATGGGAAAAGAGGAGCATTAAGTTCGTCACAAAATTAACGGGCAATTTCTTTCGACGTACAATAATTTATTGTTCATGATTGAAACTTATGGCGAAACCGCTAATTGTTGTTGCACAATAACAGTCTGTCGTAATTTCGCAACGCACGTCATCGTCAGCGTACAATATACATTAAACATACTCGACGATGACTTTTAAAACTGTTAAAATTCCATATCTTTATCGTTCTTCTTCGTGTATCACATCCTCTCTCATGTGTTATCATTCTCTCGCGTTAAACATAATTAGTTAAACGGTATTAGTAAGAAGTACCGAGATGCAATCTGTGAACATTTTTTTATTCATAGTAAACGTTTTTTTATTCACATATTAAGGAATTATGTACTCTTGCAAAAATCAACCCTGATACAAAGATCCCTAAAAATAAATTTGACAAATGAGAATTAGTGCACACATCAAAAGAATCAGAAGGGCCGCCCTATGCTTCGAATCTACGGATATGCTAAATTGTAGGAGGACGCAAAAATCAACGGATTTTTGTTAGTAAAGGAAAAATAGCAAAATAGAATACGCGTGATTGCTGCTTCTCGATAGGGTGGCTCTCAATTCTCTCGAATCTGAATACGGAATACGGACAAATATGGATAAATACGAGCAAACTAAAAGACTAAATATCCTTTAGAAATTAAGACACGTATGTACAATTCTCGGCTTATACATATACATATAGGGTGTTTCAGACTTTTCTTCACAATTTTTATAGGAACGTTGAATGGATTGAGGTATACATGAAAGTTCCATATCTTTTTGCAATATTCGCAATAAATCTCGAGATATTAATTAAAGAAGATTTGTATTATTGCGCATAATCATGTAACAGTTTTATTTAATTAATAACTAAAAATCTACATGGTTATTTGCAAAATGATAAAGTATTTTTTTATTCAATTTGACTTAATATACAAGCACACAGTTTATCTACCATATCGCGCGTAGTCATTTATCAATCTTTTTTAATTAATATCTCGACTATTATTGCGAATATCGCAAAGCGGTATAGAATTTTTATGTTTACCACAAACCGTTCTATGTTCTCACAAAAATTGCGGAGGAAAATTGGAACACCCTATATACAGGATTCGCCAACGAAAACTTTCCACTCCGATTATTCCGTAGCCAATTGATTTTTGCTAAAAATGCCGATACACGTCAATATTGTTTTCAAGAGGGCTGTATGATTGTGAAATTTAACTATATCACTTCATCCCCTTAATTGGGGTATTCCCCAAAAAATTTTAAATAGCAATAAGAGTCAAATAATCGGGGTGGAAAGTTTTCGTTGGTGGATCCTACGGTTGGCGGGTGTGTGTGTGTGTGTGTGTGTATACACATTATATATATAATACTCAATGTTCCAGCAATCAAGAGGTTGAGAGAGATGATATAATACACACACACACACACATACATATACATGTATATTTTATCACCTCTCTCAGCCTCTCGATTGCCGGAACATTGAACATTATCCGCAATGAGAAGTCTTTGTTGCTTCGCATAGAGAACCGATGCGCGTTTAAAACTATACAATCGAGTATCACAAACAATTTCGAATCAACGCTAAGTACTCTCTAGAGGATTATTCGAAATTAAAACTAAAGCTATTTATGACGCGTACTCCCTATGACTTCCGATAAAACGAGGATAATCGTCCCATCTTTATTTCTCTTTCGCTGTTCCTACTATCTAACCGCGCGAGGTATCGCGCGTATTGCTTGTCGTGAATTTATTGCGAATCGTTTATATAAATCGATTTTTTGGAACGTAGAATATGTATATATATTTTTTTTCTGTATACAAACCTCCGCACATCCCGGTAGGATATGATATTGGGAGAAATATAACGCCGTTGAGATATCTGATCGATTTCAAGTAGTGCAATTAACGTATAGATGTATATATATATATATATATATATTTTTTTTTTATATCATAGAGCTTCTCGAGTTTTTTGGTGTCACAGCGACACGATATAATTCACGTCCTAGCGTTACATTATTATCATCCACGTGCTGGAATTGGTTACGTCTATCGCTATCAAGCGTCATACGCTAAATAAGATAAGGTAGATCACTCTTTCTCTTTCTCGAAAAAAGAGAAAAAAACTCAATGTGTCGCAGGAAAATTACTTTGGAAAGGGGCGTTGTACAAGCCATTGCACTCTTTTCTTTTCTCTGTTCCAACTAATGGCGTAATAAGTTTTCGATATTAATTTTAAACACGTTACGATCGAGAGTACTATTAGACCTACAAAGTTATAAAAAAAAATAAAATAGAAGCGAGTTTCCTTCTTGGTACTTTTTTTCCGTGCGTTCGTACAGCAGAACTTCTAATGCCCGAACTAACTAAGCAATTAATATCTTCTTATCAACGATTAATCTTCACTTTTAAATCTTCAAGATTTTTTATGATCGTTCTGTCTTGTTGTGAACCGTCTTATTTAGAATGACATACTACGTGTTTCTTTTCTTTCTTTACCTTCACAATTTAAATATAAATTATATAATAATACACGGGATACTTAGAAGTAACGTTATATTTACAAAACAGTCAGCTAAACATTGTTCACGATTTAAAATTGGTCAAAACTTCATAAGAGATATGTGTAGTAACAGAAGCGTCGGGATTTATCAAGGTTCCACTGTACACCATAATTCGATATAACCTCGATTCTAAAGACGCCGTCTTGAAGGCGATTGAAACAAATTTTCCTTTTTTTTTTTAGGGAGGGAGGGGGTTTGTTTAGCACTCGTGATCGCGTATTTTTCTTATACTCTAATTCTCTTAGTCCTAGCCGAAGGACATCGGGTCTCAGAACAACGACTCGCGCGAGCCTATATCGTGTAAGAAGAGCCAAATATAGCTTAGGTATATTATGCATTTCTAGGAAGTTCGTAATTCCTACACGCACACACACTCTCGATCATACGCGCGAGTATGTCGATCAACGCAAACGCCCGTCTGTTTAATTGTAATCTGTTTGTTCTCTATTTATAACTTCGTCGCGCGCGAATCGCGACGAAATAACGTGTCAGAAGCGGAAATGATAAAGAGGCAACACGAGCGCGACTCAAAAATGAAATATGTATCCCTATTCAGTCAAATGCAGACGAGGATGCCTATTTCGCGACGATCGGACGGTGCTCGTCGCGTGCTCGAACGCTTCCCGCCGACACGTTCAGTCGTAAAATTAACTTTTCTGGCTTTCCGATTCAACGCGATCCAAGTTATACACATGCACGCTGCAGATTTCGTTATTCGTTTCTCGTATGGATGCGCTGCACCGTGAACCTCATAAAGAACGCAATCGAATGCTCTCGTAGATATTCGTTAGAGAAGGCTACGCGGATTGTATAAGTTCGAAATATTCGACGAAATACACATTTTGTGCATTCCAACTTCGCGTTTCCCGATGGGGAACATCTATCGAAGGAATTTTTCGTATCTCTTAATCGGAAGTCCTCGTAGACCATAACTTTCAACTTCACTCGCGCAGACCTGAAGGTAACTTTTAATGCCGGCGAATTTTAGAGTATCAAACTTGTAATTTCATATTTCTTTGCTTGTGAACATTCTCTGTTTTCTTTTTGCGTTCGTATTTCTATTTTCTCGTCTGAAATTTTTCGGAAATTATGAGGAATTCTTACCAAGAAACTCCTTCTAACTCTCTACTCTACCTCTTGTATAAACGCTTATGTTCGCTATACGCATAAAGAAGCGGGAGGCAGGATTAAACGCGACGATCGTTGAAACATGAAGCATCGTAATCTTCGTTCAGATCGACTAGTATCGAGTTTCTCATAAATGGGAGACCGATCAATGCGCGCGGAATCACCTAAGGCAGAAAACACCTCCGCAGTGACTGCTTAAACGTAATCTTTGGTTGTGTCGTAATCTTGACTCGATGTCACGTACGCGAACGAGAACTAGTGTAGGAGTAAACTAGACTGTCGTGGAATACAACACGGAATAGAATAGAAGATCCACTCGGAAAAAGAGTCTCCTCGCCGACGGGTTTAGGACGAAACAATAAGTAGAAAAGCTTAGCCTCGTGACTCGTTTCCTTCCTTTGATCGTTGATTTAAAACGACACAAATAACGTCTGGTACCTTACTCTGGACATTCTTATTGTTTTGGTTTTTAAGTACAAACGAAATTTAAACTTTCAATGTAGAATATATATATATATATATATATATATATATATATATATATATATATATATATATATATATATATACACGTATAATCTAGATTGAAGGTTCAAATATTCGGGTTGAAAGGGCAGAATAATCGAAATGTTCAGAGTTACTAGTGCTGTTAGTGCCCAAGCATATTGATACCTTACGTAGGATGCGTAACGTCGTACACGTTTCATAGTTCGTCTATAATACGCGGTGTAAGTTCGACATAAGTGTGGAATAAGAAATAAAAATAATGTATTTCGCTTATGTCCTCCTATACTACCGCTTCCTTACATAGCAAGTATTTCTTTTATTTCTAGGCGTAAGCGAAATAAACTATTTTTATCTCTTATACATACACGCCAAGCACTTATACATATTTCTTACTTACTCATATATGCCAAGCACTTATACATATACACCAAGCTTACTCCGCGTATTGCAGGCGGATATTTAGGAGACCGATTGTGACTTCACGCGAACTTCTTCGTCCGATACCGCTAATCAACGACTATTTTAATACTAGCGAACGAAATCAGTCCCTCTTCGCGTTGCTTTGGTGGGTGGCATGCATGAAACAAGGAATGCGCGAGAAGAATACCTAGAAGTAAAGACGGAAGGAGTAGCGAATTCTCTCCTCTACATGTGAACTCGAATCGCTACCGTACCGCGAGTCATTGCGCACGGAAACGCCGCCCCGAAATCCTACAAACACCTACCTACCTAACCACCTATCTCCCGGTAATCCTTCCTTCTTCGAGACAAGGGCGCATTGTCTTCAGAGGGGCTATTTGCTGCGGATTGTAAAAGCTGATTAAAAAACGATCGTTTTACCGGCTATGTTTAAAGATAACGGTTCTTCTCATCGTGAGTGAGAGAGAGAGAGAGAGAGAGAGAGAGAGAGAGAGAGAGGGAGGGGGTAGATACTTTAGGCACTGAATCGCACAGTTTTCCGCACCTAGGAATTCTCTCGGAGTGACACTAGTGAACTAGTGCGAAGGAGGGGCGGGATCACAAGATTCAGGTTATTAGATTCTCACGTTAAGAGTCGGCTGGCGACTGACATCATACTATCTGTTGCTTCAGCTTCACCAGATTCGTCGTGCCGTACAGCTTCATGTCCAGCGGCGCGCTCGGCTCGTTCTTCTTCGTCTGCGTGTGCCAGGCGAGCACTTTAGTGCAATTGTCCGCGAGCAGCTGGACGTCGCGCGGCTCGAACGGCGCCAGGCTTTTCAGGAAGCCGTCCTCCTCGTAACCAGCGCGAAAGGGCATGCTGGCGTTCGGCCTCTGCTGCAGGAACTTGACGCTCACGGCGAACCCAGCCATGTCCACCGGGAACTTGCGACCGGCTATCCAGCCGTCGTAAAATCCGGTGAACTTGCCGTTCTTCAGGATGGGCGAGCTCAGTCCGAACTTGGTGCACAGTCCCACCGGGAACATCGACACCGTCTGCGTCTTCCGAATCTGAAACGCGCGCGCGTCAGAATAGAGGAAACGGGATTCATCTCGAATTGTTGGGGGAGAGACTTGAAAACCGTGTCGAGTACACAAAATCTCATTTCGTACAGCTGAACAAGGGCCAAATAAAAGAGTTCGGTGAGAAATAATACCTCTGTTACCGTAACCGAAAATATTTGTCTGAACAATATCAGCTATGTTCATATTTGGTTGTAATAACTGAGAACAACTGACTGGATAGAAACCTTTTACAGGAACTTTTCTGTTTCTGCAACCAAGTTTTTCATCTACTTCTTATTCTTACCAGGCAACGGGAAACTCAGTTACGCCAACGGAATTGTTTTCTTTTTTTCGTTGAAACAAAAATCGTACAAGAGTTTGTGATGAGTGTATACCTCGTTGAAAAGCTCAATATCATAAGTATTGTCGTCGTCGGCGAAGTAGAACACGCCTTTTGTAGCATTCGCTCGTATCCACTGCAAGCCGCGATTTCTGTTTGACACTCCTCGCGGCTTCGCGCCTTTCTTGAGCTTGTATTTCTCCGGCATCGGAGCTGCACAAATCATTCGCGATCAGTGGCAATATTTTCTTTGATACTCTCTCAAAGTAAATCAATAAAGATGTTTCTGGCTGGAATATTTACTGATTTTCAGCGGGAACGCCACCACTGCAAAATCTGTAGCATACAAACTTATTAATACGTATCAACCATACACATTACATGGAAAAAAAAAAAAATCTCGCTTGGCAACCGAACAAGAACCAACTGAAAATTAGGTGATCAAAAGCGATACTCTGTTATAAAAACTAATATTTCTGTTATTGTAACTGAAAATATTCGTCTGAACATTCAGTGACATTATAATTCGGTTGAGACAACTGAGAACAATTGACTATGCAGAAGCCTCATAAAGGAATTTTTCTGTTTCTACAGTCGAGTTTTCGTCTGATCCCTAAATAACTGGAAATTCAATTGCACCAACGGAATTGTTTTTTCCGTGTACCATCATAAAAAGATGACTAGGATGATTCAACTATGCTGCTCACAACTAAGCATTTTTCTAAATATTTTCTAAATATTTTATTTTTTATGTGCACTATATCTTTTTTATCTATATACGTTTACAACGATGGAATTAACGGCTTCTGTGCGCCTTGCGTGCGATGGCACTATCTGTGTTTGCAAAGCGTACAAATAACAGGAACAGTTACTGATACTAATTGCTCTTAGCGAAATTTTATCGACTGCAGTGGCATAGTTCCAACTGAATCATTGTATGTGTAGCGTTTTAGTGAAGAATACACTGATTGTACTTTAGAGAGTATCCCACGGCAGACTCGTAATTCGACTTCAGCCATTGGCTTTACCGATTAAATGATCGAACTTGAGGCCCGTGCGTGTCAACAGATTGGTGACTTGCTTGGTAGGGACGGTGGCGTCCTCGATAACGAGCCAATGCACGTTTTTGACTAACATCAAGGTGTGAGCCATCCGCGTGAGCTCGGGGATTTGTTCCGGTCTTCGATATGTCGGCGTGATGATGTACAAAGGCTCGACGTGCTCCTCGGAATCTGGCGGGGGTGACTGACGAGACTGCGACGTCGCCTTATGCACCGTCGTGGGAGATGTTTGTGGAAGCTTGGAATTATTTCTGGAGGTCACCGAGACGTTCTTGCTTAACTGGTTGATAAGCTCCTGCACGAGCAACGAGCTTATCTCCGGGCTCAGGCCATTCGCGATTTGCACTCGGTACACGGCGTACCGAATCTGTAAAGAGAACGACGACGTTGTCTAACGAGAGGGAGACGCTCTGAATTGCGAAATTAATTCTCGCCCGCCGGACGAAGCGAGCGCCGTTTTACGGCACACCTAGGTCTTTCGTGTCCGGTCAACTTTTAACGCATTCGCGTGTGTAGAAGCAGTTAACAACGAATTGTTTGAAACAATTTGATATCTGAATCATCATGTAATTTCGCGGAATTTTATATAAATATTTTCTTTAACATTTTGTTTGTTTGAATTCATTAAACGAGAAAATATCGCCTTGGTGTACTCTGAGAGAGAAAATATTTAAAAATAAAAAATATTTGATCGGCGAGTACTAATAAAATATTTAGATCTAATATTAGATCTAAATATTTAGATCTAAATGGACACTCTTTTGGTCAGATGACGTGCGAGTGAGTGAATGTTTGATGCGTGAGTTTGGAATGATTTTATTCTATTGAATCAAGTATGGAGAGTCGCAAATAGAAGAAATTTTATAGGAACGAGTGCGTAGACAGTGTGTGTAAATAAAGACGAAACAAGATGTTCGATAGAAAAGTATTCAGGACAGAAAAAGTGCATAGATAATACAGATTACGGCGGGTCATAAAGAACGGATAGTTAGGGTTGTGTAGGTAATGCAGGAAAGCACTTATATTAGCATGATAATGCAGAGAAAATTATCGATAAAAGAAGTGTAAATAGTAACAGAAGACAGAAGTGTACATAAGAAATGGAGGAAGAAGAGAATATGAGAAGTGAAGAGGAAAGGCTTGGCCATCGAATGGGATAAGTAAGATAAAGGTATACACAAGGAAAAAGGATGACGTCAAGAACGGAAGAACTGATGAGACAGGTGCTGTGCAAGTAAGAAGGGTGAAGAGTAAAGAAATAGGTAATGGGATACAGAAAAGTCCTTCTTGACGATATTAGCTGAATTAGTACCCACCGTGTGAATATTGTCTCATTTCTTAGATATTCTTTTCCCTCAGTGTACAATTGAGTGACGAAAGAGAGAAGAAGAGAAAGCTTTAGAAAGCAAATTCCATATTTAGTTTCGACAATACGAATTGAAGAAACGGAAAGCACACGAACTGACCTCGGCAGTTGAGGGGTAATCCTGACTGATCATGTCATTGTTTACCATATTCTCGGTGAGCCTCGAGACTTTGCTGTAGTTATCACCCTCATCGTCGATCGGCAAAACCTCGGTGTCGTCTGCAGAGTTGTCCGTATTGAAGGTCGTTACTTGGTCGAAAGTAACGCCGGTGGACAGGTGATATTGATAAAACACTACGCAGATCCCTATCAAGGCGATCACTCCCATTTTCACGGACGGCTTCATTATACCGATTCCTATGCGGAGAACAGAGTGGCCGAATGAGAATAGAGAGAGATACGCGCACGTTTCGACGAAAATGTGATGCATCGCCGAGCTCGGCTGCGTTCGCACGTGTAAAGTTCTAACGAAGCGACGTGACGACGGAATACGGGGAATTCGGCAAAAATTTTCGAGCCCGCATCGAGAGTATTTCTCGACGTTCTTAATCCAGTTCTAGTTTAATAACGGGGAAATGGGACTGGAAGATTAATCGGATTTTAAATGAAAAATGTACCGCTTCACAACTTACTCCGCTAACTTCTCCACTCGGCGCGGGAAAGCAGTTACTCCCGCGTCTCATTCCCATACCTCCTTTCTCTCTCTCTCTCTCTCTCTCTCACTCTCTTTCACTCTTTCTCTCCCTCTCTCTCTTTCTTCCATCCGCCTCCTCCATCTCCGCGGAGCGAATTTCCAATTTTAATCTGATTCTCGACCCGATTCAATTCACCGAGCATTACCGTGTAAATGTATATACTATATCGCGCGCGCGCAGGTTATACGTGTAAAGTGCAAATTTCCGCCGGAACGAAGTGCGCTGTCGAGAGAGGGAGAGAAAGAAAGAGAGAAGGATGGCAATGACGCGAAAAACTGTACGAATTAAAACTCGACATTGCGTACCGAAACGCGTTTCCCGGCCCGATATTAACGCTCGCGCAGATGATCCCGAGTCTCGGTGCGATTCCAAGCGGAAAACGCCGGATTACCATAATAGCTGCGCCGAGGAGCGCGGAAGGTTCCGACGAAGAAGGGATGCCCACTCACCCGAATGCTACATGTGTCGGCTGCTCCGTCGTTTCCGTTGCCTTTCCTGAATCGCGAGCTGCTTCTTGCCCTGTTATCAAAATAATTAGTCCGTCAAGCTCGTGATACCTCGCCGCGGGAAAAGAGGAGCAGGAAGGGAGAGTTTTTTACTGGGCGAGACACTAAGCGGAGGGCGATCAATTATGATTTTTTGCGAGGCGCGCGTCGCGCTCAGAACTTTCAACATATCTTCAGCAGCGTGCTACTTCCGGCGATACTTCCGCAGTAGCCGGCGACTCGTCGGTACGCGTGTCGAAAACACGTGTCTGTGTTTCGTTCAGATGCGCGCTCTGTGATGCTACATCCATTGCTACGGACTGATTAATTCTTTGGCGCGTCGCGCGAAAACGCGCCGCGGGCGGTTTAATTATTTTTCGAGGGTCGTGTTTCTCCTCCCCCACAGGGGAAAGGAAGAGGAGGCTTAGGGCTCTCGTGCGAAGGCGTGCGACTCGATAGCGCGCCGGAAGAACATCCGTCAGGATCGTGGACTTGGCTGATAAAGCAGCAACGTTTAAAGCAACCGTCGGCTGCTAACGAGCGAGATAACGCGAGATTTATCTGCCGAATGAAACGACGCGCGGGTTCATGGCTCCGGAGGGACTCGCCTCGTGAACTGTGCCGAGGGAACATGAGAGAGAGAGAAAGAGAGAGCAAGCTGTACAATTCCAGCCGCGCTCTTGTTCCTCTCTCGCGATTCTCGCGCGCGAACGTCGGCTCACCGAGCTTCGTGAATCGTCTTATTTTCAGCGCTATTTCTTCCGCACGTTATCGCCAGGTGTCCCGCTTTGTCTGTCTGTCATTAATAACGCCATCTCCCGTCTCACCCGCTCGTCCCGTCGCGACTTATCTCTCATGCGCGATTTTACGGTTCCTCACTTTGACGCGCGAAAAGACAACAGCGTTTCCGACCCGAGACGACGTTCACGATGACGACTCGCGAAACACGTAACTCCGTGTCGTCATGTCGGGTTTATTCAAAACAGCTGCTTATCTTCGTCTTTTGTATGTTTATCATCCCGGGCGAATAGAGAACTGTCGTCGGTAATGAGACTCTTGAAACGTTACATTTAGTCCTTCTCTAATTGATCCGCAGCGCCGACGCCGTCGTTTAGAGAACTTACATAAAGCGTCGGGGCGGCACGGCTCTGAATAACACGGAACGCGGTATTTGACGCCGTCGATGCTTCTGCACGATGTCGGTTCATGAGGTGAATAGCAAAAAAGGCCGATTGGTTCTATCCGGTCTTTAGTCGTTGTCGTCAGGTTGACGCAACCAAATGACACGTTACTCGTGATAAATGACAGCGTCGCGAGGAAATACGCCCGCCGATTAATAACTGATTCGCGTCCGCGTCGTTTATTCGGGACGGTTATAACCAATCCAGGACTCATGCAAAACGCTCTTTCATCGGTGCAATAATATCTTCGCCGGAGGAAATACCGGGTACGCGCGCGATAAAATTGCCGCGGCCGGTGAAATTCGAATGGCCGCGAGTGGAACGTAATATTTGGCCGGCGGCTGGATGAAACGCCCGCGCGGTAAATCGGTCAAATTGAACGTTGGTAAATTTCGGCGGTAAATATGCACGCGGAAGGAAGCGAGGATCCGCCCCCCCCCCCCCCCTTCCCC